ATTAACAACAAGGGACAGGCAATAGAACTGACAGAATATAAATTTAGTGGGCTTTTCTAGGTCTTTTGAGAGGCAATTTGGTTGGCGAAGAGGGCATAAGCATGGCAGAACGAGAAAATTTTCAATAAAACTGACAGAATATAAATTTAGCGGGCTTTTTTAGGTCTTTTGAGAGGCGATTTGGTTGACGATGAGGGCATAAGCATGGCAGAACGAGAAAATTCTTCGGGGTTGCACTTCAAAATAATATTGTGGCTGTATCGGTAATTTTGACAGGTTTGAAAGTAAGCATTTATTTCCCATGCAAGGGGAATTTATTGGCCATTTCACAATCTTTCACTGTTTCCGGGAGAGGATTCGTTTAAGAAAACGACGATGTCTCTGGTAATCACTTGACAATTACCTTTGTTATAAAGCGTTATCAAAGCGTTATAACTTTCCTCAGCGAATTTTGAGCGGAGAAGGTGCCACATCATTAATCAAAATTATTCTTAGTTTAAAATTATGAAATTTTGTTATGTTAGGTGCCGATTCCCGAACTTTCACGTTATCCTATTATCCTGACATGAAATGAAAATTTTTCACGATTTATTACACCCATTTTGAAATCACTGGTGGTCCCTGTAATCTGATTGGCTCTAATTGATGCGATTTATTCACAAATTGCACCATTTTTTCCTTTAAATCGCATCTTTTTCCCAGCCAATGAGCAGGCTACACTAGAAACAAAACAGCAAATCAGATTTGAAGGCTTGTTCAAAGTAACCGATCAAATTGCAGAAAAATGAAAGACTAAGAGTATCATGTGGCAAATTTTGCAACTTTTGTCGACAGTTTACCAACTCTTACTTTTTCCACCCCAGAAAATAGATGAATTTAATTTCAGACCGGCTCAGCACTGCATCAACAAAATATTTTAACTGACCAAGTCCTGTGTTTGGGTGATTTCAAAATGGATGTAATAAAGTGGTAATTGAATTTCGTGTCGTGCAATTTTGGTCTGAAATCGTGCTTGTGATTTCAAATCGAACTCGCGCTGCGTGCTCATTCGATTTTGAAATCACGCGTATGATTTCAGCCCAAATTGCACTCCTCTCAGTTCAATTACCATTATTAACAGAAAATAGATTTTTGGCATCCATTGGCATCCATTGCAAGTTTATGGTTTTAGTCAGTAACGGTGTTATGTATCGTATGAATATGGCATCTGAATTTACATATGGCTATACATATATCCCTGCATATGTACATCAACTTAACATTTTACAAACTCAGGGTACCGTTAAAAGCCCTCACAGTTTGTTTGAGGAAAGAAGACACGAAAGGTGTAACTTCTGCATAGGTTGCTCCTAAGAGTTCGTACAAATTGTTTACCGAAAAGTGAATCCTTTAAGGTGTTCAATTTATTTGCAGCAATGAAATGAATCATGCGGTAATCGATCTTTTGATTAAATTAAAAAAAAATTTTAAATTTAAAGTCACTAATAAAAGACAGGTCATGAGTTGATCATAGCATATCATTGCTTAGACGTCTTCTCACCCAGTTGTTGTTGTGGTGAGACTGAACGAATATTAAAGGAGACACATGCAATAAAGAAGTTTCCAACGGCATCAAGAAACAACTGCTGATCTAAGTTTGCAAATACCCATGCACCTATCAGGGATGCAAGCGGAAGGGAAACAAGTCTCACTTTACTTTGATCTTTCGAAACCTACTCACTCAATAGATCAAAGGAAAGTGCACCAAAAATTACCATTAACATCGAAAACAAGGTGCAACAGAGAATCGCTGCTTTACATAAAGATCAGCCTTTTGGCTCATCCTTTCAAATTGATGAAAAGTGGACAGCACCCCGAATAGCTTCCAAGTTTTTGGCGGTGCTGATTTGAATTTTTTTCTGATTTATTTCATTTTGAGATTTTTTCATGCTGAGCCGCAATTTTGGTGAATGACATCACATATACCAGGCAGTTATGACATCACATGTTGGCCTCTAACAACCACGACTGATAACAAAGAAAGTGTAGTAATAAATGCAAGGCTCTTCAGCGTTTCTTTTAGTCGGAAAAGTTCTGCCGAAGTCCTGATGTAAGTAAGTTAAAATGCTCACTGTTCTACTAATGTTGTGCTTATGTGAGTGTATTGGTATGTATGAGGGAAGCTAGTTGAGCTTAAGGAGTACCTTGTGTTTGCTTATGAAAAAGAGAAGGACTGGATTGCATGGGATTCTATATTTTCTGAAATAGAATCAACCATGTAAAACATTCTGTAAGTCGTGAATTAGTAATAGTTAGGAGCAGTTCTTCGCCATAAATTTTTCTCAAGGGAATATGTTAATGAAATTTGCTTGTTCATGCCCCAGTGAGTTAATTTTCAGAGAAAAAAAGATTCATAAACGCAGCCTCTTTAATCTCCCTGATCGTTAAATTTGGATAACAGGAAGTGAAATATTTACATATTGGGGTAAACCCCTCTAAAACGGCCGTAAACCCTTAATTTGCAATTCAGTAATACGCTATTAGGGCTCAGTAAGTCTAGACAGGACTTGAGAAATCTACTTCGTTCAGCAATTACACGAGAAAGATATACTGACATCATTTGCACTGACGTTACTTACCCGAATTCTTCAGTACAGAGAAGCCAGAAGTAGATAAACGTTATTTGAGGACACATCTTTGCCGCACAATTGAGGTAAGCTGTCCAGTTTTGAAGATTTGGAGTGTTACATTTCAATATTATAAAAAATTTTTCGTTCTAGTGATTTCCCCAAAAGAGTCTTCATTTTATTTGTATGGGAAGCAGACCCTTTCAAAATCATTACGAATCAGAAGAAGTGTGGAACACTTTTATGATCGAGAACAGATCAGCGATAAAAAGAGCGGAGGTATATTTAATCGTCGCACACAGCAACTCCACCGCGGAGCTTGAGCGTTAATGATGAAGATTAATAATACCGTCAGTACAGATATTATTATTCTTTAATGATAATACTTCACGTAATGACCCGAAGCGCTTGTTGCTTACTGATCTCTGTGGGGAGATATAGAATATTTTGTACACCAGCTCAGCATTCAGAGATTTAAGCGGGTAAGTTCTTGTGCACAGGAGGTCACAAGCTGACAAATAGAAAACAAAGGGACGCAGCGAAAATCGAAATCAAGTTTCGACTCTCAGACCATTAATATGTCGTTCACTTCAGTATCGGAAAAGCAGGTTCTACTGACATGAAAGCTTGTTAAAAACTTTGCGGTGAAATCTCATGACTGTGCCTGGTGGTTTCAATTTCATTTTAAATATAATTTATTTGGAGTAATTTATATTACTAATAAGAGCACGGGCAATGGAAAATTGTGGTCGACATGTCAAGAATGATCTAAAAGCGAACATCTTATCGAACATCGACTTTTCGAGATATTCTGTTAAGATCAGCTGTACAGTCTATCAGTTCCGGTTTAAATGAAATTTTTGCTCGACATGGACTGGCTTATCGGAGACAACAGTAAATTTCTAAAAGTATAGTGTTAATGACAATAAAAAATGGATACTTACAATTTTCAAGTTTCTTAACCCTCAGCCTTTCATCCTTGTGGAAAAGTAGCCATAAATCTCTGGTTCACAGCGAATACAAACATATTTAGGGTTTTGCAAAACAGTTGGAAGTAGATGGCTAGAAGTTTTATTTTTTTCTGTTTGCCGTATTTGTCACGCTTCATCTCCCTATCGTATCATGTTCGTTTATGTATCTCTTTAGGAGCATGTCAAATATAATGCCGGGGCTAACTGTAAATTACTGTTACTCCGTTCTCAATACATGGGAAGAAATGCACGCCTTGGCAAATTGTAGTCGTAGCAGCTAAGAGTTTCCACGGTAGAAATTCTAAGGTCTTGGTGTCATTTCAGTGCAATAATCATTGTCGAGAAGCGATCACTCTCAGACAATGACTTTCCCAACAGAGGCCATATTTCAAGGGAGACGAATGGTTTTTCCTTTCGAAAAAATTGCTATTTCACTCGATTTTCGGAAAAGATGAATGACTTACTATGCAGCTTCCTGAAATTGTTCATGAAGATATCCAAACCGCTCCCAAAGTGAACATTATCTTCTAGAACAATGATCTGACATAATCTGGAATCTTCCTACAACTTTTTTTAAATACCAATCCTTTGACCGGAAGTGGCTTCCACACATCTTCGTTTGTCTCCTTGCAGGAAGTATCAACAAAAGGGCAAAATGATTTTGAACATGTTGTGATTATTATAGGTAATAATATGATTTCGAGTGCATTTTGGTGTTAATAAGCAAAAATAAAATTTTCAAAGACATCAGCAGTTTTTAGTCTTTGAAAAATTTGCAGGTGAAAAAAGCATCACAGAAAGTCAAGACAGACGAAACTTTGTAATTTGCACTCGTGTTACGTTGCATGAAAAATGCACTCGTTTTCAGCCTATCAGAAGCGTAATTTTTTAATGTATGTTATCATTTTTTTTTTTACATATGAGGCTACTACGCAAACACTCCAGTCTCTCAGAAACACCCTTTAATCTTAGCTTTATCTTCCTGTATCCCAGAACCAGTTCTGTGACCTCCATTTTTAATGACTAAACCTCGATCAGTGCATCATGGTTTTTTTTTTCCTACAAATTTGAAAATACTCCGTAAGTACAGTTTAGAGCCACCATAAATTTTGATGTTTCAAGGTGGCCTCACGAAGAATTACCTCTAGAAAAGGCCGACATGGTGGACTCGTCTCTCTGCTTGATCCACTGTTTTCACATTTTAGGAAGGAATGATGTCGTGATAAAGTTGCAAAAAGGAAAACCTACAGCCTAATCAGGGTCTTTTGTTTCATTTCAGATGGAGGACCAGCAACATGACTTTACAGTTCCATACGTGCATATAAATGAAGATGAGAATTCTTTTAAAAGCCGTCTATTCCAGGTAATGACGCGTTTTCTGACCTCCACCGTTGTGAGAGTAATGGGTTACATTGCCTATGTATTGTTTTTCATCTGGCAAGTAATCGGTTTGATCTTGTACACAATCCGTGCCTTTGAAGTAAGTCTCAATTCCAAACGTGCAAGCTTCCAACTAGCAGACATCACCTCATTTAATCGTTCTGAGGAACTGGAGCTCGCGTGGGTTATGTCCCAGATATGCAACTGCGCCTTGGTACTCCTGGCTGTATCAAGAGTACCTTCTTTCTTAGGGTGGTCTTTCATTCCGAGGCTGCTAGTTCAGCTTCCAGCGTTTTGGAGTCTTCTGGCCTTGTTCTTGATGACAGTTGTAGGCTACGGGATGATCCTTGTTCACAAAAATGACGAGATGATGGAGATCTGTCTGATTTTAGCTCTAACGATGGACAATTGTGTTCAGGTAGTTTTGATAAGCTTCCTAAACTTCACTCAAATAAATCGCTCCTACAGGCAATATCCTTTTACAGTATTTGCCTTCCTCAAAATTAATATATTTCTTCTTTTTTTATCGTATTTTGCAACCTTTGTTGTCAGCTCACTCCAGATTGCAATTCGAGTCTATGGCATAGAGAAGAGTGAATCAATTTCTGATGATTGTTTTTGTGCAATTGTTGCGGTAAGGAGATTTACACAGGTGGTATTCTCTTACAGAGTTTATATATTTTACTGGGACAAATTGTTTTCTGATCACAGAAATATTCTTTGTCATCACGACTATTTGGAAGAGACTATAAAAGAAATTAGAACGAGAAATCGGTCAATTTAAGAGGCAAGTACGCTTTAATTCTGCCAATGTATGTTTAAGGGAATAAGAAAAAAAAAGTACCATAAGTTCACAACTGTTGTAAATTGTTTACTTGTCGAGTGGTCTCCATTAAATGAGTGAGATTTCTGTCAGTTTGAAGCGTTTCCACAATTTAGGAATATAGTCAAATACTAACTAGGGGTAAAATTACTTCAGCACTTTTCCAAATTTAGAATGTTTCAAAAGGGTCTCGATGAGGTTAACCACTAGCCGCAAAATGGCCCAAAAAATTAACTTTTAGGCGTAAAAATTGAAAAACTTTAACTGTTACAAGTCAAAAAGGAAACCATTAATTTTTTTACGTATACTCACCAAGGAAGGAAGTTAACCGTTGAACGTAGAATGGTTAAAAATTTAATCTTCGTGGCCGTAAAAGCCATCACCCCATTGACACCCTTTTCTAATAATTAAGTTGAGCGTTCCTATAATTACAAATGATATGTTTGGAAAAATTCTGGTCGACTGGGTTTTGATCATAAAAGTTCCAATAAATGTTTCTTTAGTTTAGCTCTGCTTACCTCAATGCTGGTTCTCAAACAGGTCTGTTTATATGCAATTTAACATGCAAGTATCGGAAGTATCTAGAATCAGCAATATTTTTTTAACCTTGATATTCTTGTGCCCAGTTATCTATGTGTTAATGCACTATTCTAAGAGTGCATAAGAACTGAAGCCGTTGTAGAAACAATAGCCGTAATGTATCAGAAGAATAAAGTGTTCATGTTAAGTTATACTTATATAGAATAATTTCGTTATTGGTCTATTTGTGGGAGTGTTGATTTCAGTAATAAAGACATATAAGGGTATCCAGCCCTGAGGAAAGCATAACAGCACACACGTAAATCTGCGATAAATTTTCTACTTGTGTTTGATATCGCCAATCAGCTGCTGACACGTAACTCGCCTTTGGCGCTACTCTGTCAGGTTGATGAATGAATACCAAAGTCTTCACCTTTCTAAAGCGAAGGACGTCTTTCGAAAATTTTCTCGGATTATAGCTTCTAACAACGCTAAAAAAAACGAATCGCTGACAAACAGTGACGTTCAAGATTTTTCGAAAAGTAGAAAAAAACCGAAAGTTACTTGACTTTGGTAATAGCATTTCTTGCAGCTGAGAACAAAAATCGACAGCTGGGAGATATGCTAATGATGACTTCGGCGTCTTTCTGTCAATAAAGGTCTATTGTATAAACCAAATAATACATGGTTGCTTTCAGATATGGAGTTTCTCTTTACTGGAAAAGAGCTGTGGCAGTGCTTGAGTCGCTGTATTTTGGCAGGAACCCTATTCACTTATTCATCCATACGGGGTTGAAAACTCGCCAGAACAGATCTTTAAAGTGAGCTTGTAAAATTATGTCAGTTTTTAGTGCTTTTTTGTAAACAAAGCTAACTGGGTCAGATTGCATGAAACTAACCAATTTTTGTAAACTCAAAGCAAAAATCTCCATTATTACCCTAACGAGCCTCCCATCCGTCAAGGTCACCACATTATGAGATTTCTCAACCAACTTCTGCGAGTGTTGTCCTTCACAAACTTTCACAGTTGTTATTGTGGTTGCAAACAGTAGCAATATGA